CGGAGCGTGCCAGAGGTCGTGCGGGAGTGTCGGCAGAGGGGCGCTCGGGGTGACGTCAACCCCGCCCCCTGCCATTCTGAGGTCCTCTTCTACCCCGTCTTTTCCAAACCCTCGCCTCCAGAGCCACGCCGCTCCTCACGGGGCCCACTCACGTCGTGCCACAACGGCCACTGGGGCGCCACCCCCAAGACCAAGGAGGAACGCGACAGAACCACAATATACAAAATGATGATAAGAGGCAAAGAGCCGCATTAATTTTGGCCGGGAGCCGCATGCGGCTCTAGAGCCACGTGTTCGCCACCCCTGGACTGGAGGCTTGAAACACAACACGCAGTTGCTAGTAACGTAGAGAACACCTGTGCTTTCGCCTTTTGAAATTCAGGTCTGTGCCGTCTAACGCAAGTCTTGTAAAGTGTTAGAGGGTTAAGCTAGTTTTCTTGGGGAGTTTGCCGTATGATTTTAGAGTGATGTGTTGCTTGCAGAGTAATTCTTTATCTGACAGAAATTTGAACAAAGCTGTGTAAAATATGTTTTAAAATAGCCAGAGGTTTGTTTACCTATGTGCAACAGTCCTGAGGATCCATAGGGTTCAGCTTTGGACACTTTGACATACCTGGAGGTTTGGGGTGTGTGGTGAATCCTTGGGAGGGCGGGGTTTGGGGAAGGGAGGGACCTCAGCAGGATACAATGCCATAGAGTCCACCCTCCAAAGCAGCCATTTTTTCCAGAGTAAACTGATCTCTGTAGTCCGGAGCTCAATTGGAACAGCGAGAGATCTTCCGGGCTCACCTGGAGGTTCAACAACAAGCACACAGGGAACAGGGCTAAGTTAGATAAACACAGAAAACACCGTGTTGAAATAATAAACACAATATTCACATGTACTTATAGCTAAATATATTTGCTTTTTATACACAACATCAACTCTAGTGTATTGTAAACACTTTCAAACCACAACATCACATTTCAGACACTTTCAAACTAAGTTATATAACATGAAGAGTCCAACTGTCTTCTTCCTGATGGAGGATAAATACCAATGTACAGTTATTTGTACCGAACAATGCAGCAACCTATTGTACATTTCCCAAGTGATGATCCATCAGGTAAAGCTAGCAGGCAGCTTGTATTTCTCAGTGTGATGATTCAGCTTAGCAAGCAAGCCTAGTAGATGTATTTTCCCATGAGGTGATTCAGCTAGCAAGCAGGCCTAGCAACATGCCTCCCGGGCATAACCTGCGTGTTTCGAACAAATCTTCAGGCATAAATTTTTCTGGAACCACAGCTCTTGAATTTACCTATGCATACGTCAAACAATGTAAACATGGCTGTTTTATTTATTTATTTATTTATTTAACTAAGTATTTTTACCCCGCCCTCCCCGCGAGCGGGCTCAGGGCGGCTTACAGAGGGCTACAGCCCATACATAAAATCCATAAAACAATAAAAACATAGCAGCAATTATATATAACAATAGATAAATAAGTGCTTCACAGCAAGATGGTCTTTGGTAATGATGGCGTCTCTGATCTTCAGTCGGCCCCGTTGGGGTACCACTCTCCAGTAGGTGTTAATGTCACACAGGGTAAGCTGTACTTCCCAGGGTGATCTAAATCCGGTTGGAATTTCCACCGTTGGTGGTGGTGGTAGCGGCGGTTCTGGAGGTTGGCAACCCTAACCAGAGGATTGTTCCCCAGTTGGACAGGGGGAGCCCCTGCGGTAAAGGAGAGCATCCAAGTGATGTCACACCCAATTGTCAGATTTGCCTCCAAAGGAAGCTTTGTAACTGGTCAATGGCCACCATTTTGTTTTCCAGAAAACAAAGGCGTTATATACGTGAGCTGCACAGACACACCCTCCGCTGATTCCCTGTCACCTGCCCCGGAGCTCCCGGAAAAGTACGAAAGTGATGCCCTTCGACGAGTGCATGTGGAGAGTGACTTAATCTGCTTCTGTTCCACAACCCCTGGTAAGAGCCTCCTGAAGGAAATGGCCAGGCGGGTTTTGGTGGATGCGTGTAGGGCTGATGACTAGGGTTGCCAGCTTC